CAGCTCTGTCACATTAGTGGTGAAGTGCTGGAGCAAAAACCTAAGAATTCCTGTCCCTGAAGTCCCTCACATCACCTAGTACCACCCATGGGCTCCAATTTCCATGCCGACAAGCCTTATTTATTCTTCGATTTCCAGAAGGCTCTAATCCTCCTGGGCTCTATGCAAATCCTTATCATTAACTCCCTTTACTTGAGTTAGCTGAGTAATGTCTCAGCTTCTTACAATCAAGAGACTAATTAAAACAACATAGCGAAATCCAGCATTTCTGGATTTGGGGGTGGGGGTGGGGGTGGGGGTGGGGGTGGACAGGGAGAAGTTTCAAGGGGGACAGGCCTGTGTGGTAAAAGCATTCCACAGACATGGGATTATTAATCATGAAGCCTTAGGTGACTTACATAAGCTAACAGTTGTATAAAACAGTGTTAAACAGCTGTTTAGCCCAGGCATGGTGACTCATGCCTACAATCCCAGCACTTTGGGCTGCTGAGATGAGAGGATTGCTTGAGGCCAGGAGTACAAAACCAGCCTGGGCAAAATAGCAAGACCCCATCTATACAAAAAATTTAAAAATTAGCTGGGCGTGGTAGCATGTGCCTGTAGTCCTAGGTACTCAGGAGGCTGAGACAGGAGGATCACTTCAGCCCAGAAGCTCTAGGCTGCAGTGAGCTACTATTGGGCCACTGCACTCCAGCCTAGGCAACAGAGTGAGACCCTGTCTCTAAAAACAACAAAATACCTGAGCTCAAAGAGCAGTTATAAATAATGAGGCAAATAACATAAAGCATCTATCATACAGTTTGTTCAACAAATGAAAGTTTCCTTCCTTTCTATTGCCCAATGCCAATTCACCCCTTCATTTATCCCACTATTCAACAAATATTTGCTGCATACCTGTTATGTGTGAGGCAGCAAGATGTGTGAGGTGAACAAGACAGAAATGTCTGTGTCCTAATTCCTGTGTCCTACTTTCTTCCACTGTTGTTTTCTCTCAGAATTTGCTCCCTGCATTACCCAGTATCTCTCCTATCTTCGCTGAACCCCATGGCCTCCCTCTAGCAAAACAGTTCTCTTTGAAGCTTTCCTTTTTCCACACTGTCACCACTTACTCTTCTTGGATGCCTGTTACTCTGCTCTTGCCCCTCACACACCTGAAACTGCATACTTGAAAATTACCAATGCATTTCTAATCTGATTTCAACAGTCCTTTTCTCCTTATTGTAGCTATGATACTGCACTAGGCTGACTTCCTTCAACCAATAAAACTGTTGTCTTCCTGTGACTTTGTCTTACTTTGCCCCTGGAAGCATGGAGCTGCCCGTAGCTTAGTCTTTCTACAGTTATTTTTACTTTATTTTTATTTGCTATCCCTCAGAAAGCCCATCCACACCGAGGGCTCCATTTTCCACCTCTACAGAGATGGTTTCCAAGTTCAGTCCCAACTCTTCTTCCAAACTCAGCTTACATTTCCAAGTAATTGCAAATTTTGAATTAGACATTCTGTCATCACCTGAAAACCATCTTCCTCTAGGAAACTCCCAAATCAACTCCTCTCCCTGGCTTTACATTCCCATCAGATGGTCTATTATTCTCCCAGGTGTCCCAAATTCAAACTCTTACACCTCACTCTCTTTCCTCCCAAACCTAGTCACCAGGTCCTTTTGACTTTTCTTTTCCAGCCACTAAAACCATCCTAACTCAGGTCCAAAACAGCTTGCACAGAATTATCACGCATTCCTAACTGGCTCCCTGCCACTAGTCCTTTCCTCTCTCTAGTCAATGAATGTGTTTTTTGTTGTTGTTGTTGTTTTGAGACAGAGTCTCACTTTGTTGCCTGAGCTAGAGTGCTATGGGGTCAGCTTAACTCACAGCAACCTCAAACTCCTAGGCTCAAGCAATCCTACTGCCTCAGCCTCCTAAGTAGCTGGGACTGCACGCACCACCATGCCCGGCTAATTTTTTCTATATATTTTTAGTTGACCAATTAATTTCTATTTTTAGGAGACAGGGTCTCGCTCTTGCTCAGGCTGGTTTTGAACTCCTGACCTTGAACGATCCACCCACCTCAGCCTCCCAGAGTGCTAGGATTACAGGCGTGAGCCACCACGCCCAGCCAAGAATGTGACCTTTGGGCCCCAGAGTACTTTTTTTCATCCGTCTTCCACTGTTCCTGCACTACAGTAAAAATTATCGCCGTCTAAAATCCGCCTAATATTTTGGTACTTTTGTGGGTTTTCGCATCAAATCCTACCTCCTCCATGAAGCAACCCCAGTACTTGTGCAAAGGCCCAGGATAGGGACCTAAAAGGAAATTTGAGGCGCTTCCTGGGAAAGAGGGAGGGACTGGACTGGAGCGGGCGACACCCTAGATTAGTCAATTCCACCCACGTTCATTAAGCATTCATTCTGGGAAGTAGGAAGGGGAGCCGGGGGGGGCAGAGGAAGACTCCAAACTTCCAAGCTGAAAGTATGGGATCTGACATATAGTAGGTGCCCATACCCCAGGAAGCAAACGCACACAGGGACACGGAGGACAACTTTCCGTCCGCACCTCGGAGATGGGACGTCGCCACACACACACACTCTTGCGGGTTGGCTCTGCCCGCGTCACCCAGTTCTGCTCCCACAGCACCTCCCCCAAGTTCTCAGTGTCCCCTTCTCTCGGCCGCTGCGCTTACTCCCCTCCTGGAAGACACACACACGCAAACCCTCACCTCCCGTACAGACTTCTCGCGACCTGGGAAGACGGCGTCTCTCTAGGTCAGGAAAGTGACGCGCCTGCGCAAACGGTCCTGGCGTTCGCAATTCCCAATCAATGCTCTGCCTTCCCATGAACTCCATCTCCCAGAGGTCTCCGCGGCCGGCGCACATTAATATGACGTCTGAAAAAGCTACGCGAGCGCATGCTCCTGAGAAACGGACTGGTGTCGCTGCCGGGATCCCGCTTAGCTGTGCGTTTAGGTTAGCAAGGAGAGGAAGCTGGTGTGCATTCCCGGGAGACTTAGGGTCACCCTAAAGTACGGCCTACGTCTGAGGTTGCGTCCCTCCAGCCCTCCGATGGGAGGGCCCCCCCGAAGGAAATGTGTCTCTTTGCTCCTTGTGCCGGTTCCTAACCCCGGGGAAGACCAGGACGACATCGAGTCTTCTGGCTTTTGGAAGGGGCTTGTTTCCGCTCCCGCAGGTCCTTTCAGGAATTTGATTCTGAAATTTTGTAAGGAGAGGCGAAGAGCTTGGTTTTGAGGATGGGGCTGCGGCTTTAGGCAGCAGGGTTTGTGCGCATATCTGTGTTGAAAGAAGAGAAGAGCCCGGAATACGTATGTATTTAAGTGTGCAGCCGGTCCGACTCCTGACAGTTTAAGCGCACACCAGCCTGCCTGCCAGCCTTGGAGCTGCTGGAAGGGCCCAACCTGGAGACATCGCAGGGATTCTCAACCCTGGCTGCATGCTGGAATTACCTGGAGAGCTTTAAACTTTTAAACAAGAGTTTGAAAAGATCAGCAAGTGGTTCTAATGTGCAGCTAAAGCTAAGAACCACTGAGCTAGAGCTCAGGAAAGACTGAAAATTACACAAAGAATATGAGAAAATCGTATTTCAGAAACAAGTCTACACTTTGACTTTTAAAATACACCAAATTGCCTACTATAAGCAAGGCACTGTTACAAATATGAATATGGTACAGTTACTGCCCCAAACAAACTCATGGTCCAATGGAAAAATCAGAATGTAAAATTATAATACAATGCAGTATAGTCTATAATTATGTCATGTTCAACATACTATGAGAGTACAATGGAGGAGGCAATTAACTGGCTGGGAAAGGTGGAAAAGGCTTTCTATAACTAGTACATTTGAATGAGTGATTACTTTCTTAAGAATAAAGGAAAATACAATCTAAGACAGAATAGCATATGCAAAGGTGTTAGAGGATAAAAGTGGAAAGAATTAGCAAGATGAATGGCTGGTGGATAAGATTTGGGGACTAATAACAGTATCTTGAGGCGAGGTTGTGGCAGACTGCTATTCTAAGTAGTTCGGACCAACCTAGAAGATTAGAACTTGATTAAAGTCATGAAATCCAAGACAAATATTTTCTTGCTGTTCCTTCTGTGTGGTTTTTATTATTCAATTAGTCTTATACTTTGGGATCCTAACTGGGTTTCCTTCTAGAATTCCCCACGCATTGGCAGACCCTAGGCTTTATCTCTAATGCCCCAGTTAGGTGTCAGTGTGGATGTTTACGTTCTCCAGGTTATAGCAGTGTAAAAGTTAGGTTTCCTGCTCTGGATTTTAACTCACTTTATTTTTTAAAATGTTTGCAAAGTTTTCACTTTCATGAATTGGTAAGGGGCAAGATGACACACACTTCACACCACAGCAGACCATTTCTTCATATATTTTGGTCTTAAATGATACTCGTTTCTGGAGCAGGAGAGAGCCCAAAGTCCTCCCTTCTCCATCACTCTGCTGAACTCAAGGGGCAGTGGGAGTAAGGCACAGGAAGACCTATACAATAGTAGCATCTAGTTTTGAGCCACCAGTATATCCTGGGCACCTTGTTAGAAACAGATACCCCAGAAGTGCCTGCTGGAAATCCACATTCGGCAGATCCAGGGTAGGACCCGGGCTTCTGTCTTTTTAACAAATTTCCAGTAGCTTCTGCTGGACAGCCCTAAATCAGCTTATGAGGCACAGCTAGCAAACTCACTCGCGAGATGGTCAATGCTCTCAGTTCCCAGCCCATGGGAGAAACAGGAAAAAGTCCCCGGTTAGCTGGTGCGCACGACCCCTCCCAAAGGCATCCGAGCCCCGCCCATGCCCGCTCTCGGCGGCCAGAGCGCAGGCGCCGTTCGTTCCGCTCTTCCGGCCTGTTCCCAAGGGGCCCGAGCTGTGGCCGCGTCTGCGCAGGCTCAGGACGGTCGCAGGCGGCTAGGCCGGCGTGGGGGCGGAGCCTTGTGCTTTGTAGGCTCTGCGGTTCCCCGCGCGCGGGCCTGCGGTGAGCACTGCGTCTAGGGCTGGTGACAGAGCTGGCGGTGTCCCTCGTGTGCCCGCCTGCGAGGGACTGTGGAGACTGGAACTGGGCAGGAGGGACTGAGGAATAGGGGTAGACTTGGCAGAGCGGCTCTCACCGAATCCCTGCTGTCTCCGGACAGCTGAGGGGCGCAGGGCACCTGGGTCGTAGGTGTGGCTGCGGCCGCGACTCCTGGTGGTGTGAGCCCACCGCGGGTGTGGATCCGCGTGGGAACTAGGTCCCAGAGCCAGGTCTTGAGGAGAAGGGCGGCGGAGCGGAGCCAGTAGGAGGCCGGGCTTCTGAGGGGTCTGAGAGTGTGTCCCGGGGCGGGAGAAGAGCACGGCCCCGGGCAGCAGCGCTGTGCGCGCGGGCGGCTTTCCAGGTTTGACAGCCCTGCTCTGGGCCCTACAGGTCTTCTGGGTCTCACCGTGCTGATTGGGAATGCCCCGCGCCAGCCAGGCGGCCCTAGCCTGCTCCCCGCTCCCTGAGCCCTCGGGAGGACCGCAGGGCTGTGGCCGAAAGACTGTGATTTGGACCTAGTGAAAGGACGCCGCCCCTTTGCCCTAACTATGGACTCCACAGCATCAGGTTTGGCTCTCAAGCGTGCAGAGGGCCTGCAGCCCTCCTGGGGAGTTATTTAATAGTAGCGGGCCTACTAGGAGGAGGACCCTAGGAAGAGGCTGGGGAATCTCACTGAAGTCCCAGCTTCCTAGGTCTGGAATGGGTCTCTGGATGACTGGCAAGGTGGAGGGGATGGCCACCGATGACTTGTCCCAATGGCCAAAGGAGAGGGGGGAGCCGAACTGCACAAGAAGAGCAAGCAGCACAGGAGAGGATCTGATGTTTTCCTGTTGCGGCAGGGAGAGGGCAAACAAACCCATGAAGGAGTGGCCCTTGGCCAGGAATGAGAGGACAGTAGGGCCATTTAGAGCCTTGTCTATCATCTCCTTAATCACTTCACTAACAGAGTTTTTCCGGCTCTTCTAGCTCAGCTGTGTACAAGGTCAGCAGTATACACATGGTGGGTGCCTCCTGTGAGTTTCTTCCCCCAACAGTGAGGGTGTGGGGAGTAATGCAATCCAGGAGACTCGGGAGGGGTAAAAGCCATTACTTTCTTTTTTTTTTTTTTTTTTTTTGAGACCGAGTCTCGCTTTGTTGCCCAGGCTAGAGTGAGTGCCCTGGTGTCACAGCCTTGCTCACAGCAACCTCAAACTCCTGGGCTCAAGCAATCCTGCCTCAGCCTCCCCAGTAGCTGGGACTACAGGCATGTGCCACCATGCCCAGCTAATTTTTTTTCTATATATATCTGATGGCCAATTAATTTCTTTCTATTTATAGTAGAACGGGGGTCTCACTCTTGCTCAGGGTGGTTTCGGACTCCTGACCTTGAGCGATACGCCAGCCTCGGCCTCCCAGAGTGCTAGGATTACAGGCGTGAGCCACTGCACCCAGCCAAGCCATTACTTTCTAAATGTATAATGTCCTCTCCTTCACCAGGTGAGCATTTGAATTTGTTTATTTTTCAGCGCACATACTCAAGGACACAAAACTGACCAATGGAAGAACTGGGCCAAATCCCTGGGCCTACTACCCCCTTTTTTTTCTTTATGTCCTTACTACTAAGTGTGACCCATAGACCAACAGAGGCATCACCTGGAAGCTCTTTAGAAATGCAGACTCTTGGGCCCTAGCCCACACTCATTGAGCAGGGTCTTAATAAGTTTTGAACCAGAGTTTAAAAAGATCCTTGGGGATCCATATGCATGTGAAGTTTGAGAAGTGCTGACCTGTACTATGCTATGCTGCTTGCCTACTTCAGTGTTTCTGTCGTTAGCCTTTCTACTTTACTGGCATGATTTGGGTTTGTTTGTTTTAAGGCTTTACAAACAGTATGATGCAAAGCTCTTTAATAGAGGGGCTCTCAAAATGTGCTGCAGAGACCCAACAGTGCTTGGGAACACCAAGGGCAGGGTCTCAGGAAGAGCTAGCATCTGAGCTAGATTCCCAAGAATGAGGGGAGAGGTCTGATTTCTTCCCCTTTAACGCTCATATCTTTCCATGGGGTTGTCTTGGGCCTTGTGTAGTTGTTAATCTGCAGACTAGATTTAAAATTCCTTGAAGGTCTCCATGTTTATATTTCCAAAATGCCTAAGAAAGGATCTGCATTTAGTAGGCCCAGTAAATTACTCTGCAGTGGTATGGCCAGACTTTGGTCACACACCTGTAGCCTGCTGTGGGCCTGTGGATAGGTAGGAGCCTCACACTGCTGTGTGCAGGAGCACATTCCTCCTATATGGGCAAGCTAGGAGCTGTCTTCTAGTTCCCTTTGATGCACTTGTGTCTCCAGAACCATGGAGGTGACACACAGAGCTGTATAGGGGTCTCCAGCTTGAGGAGTCTGGGAGCTGCACATGCCATATGGGTTAGCCTCCCTTATGGCTCCTTTTACCTTCCCAGCTCTCCCTTCTCAGGACCCTGCTCCTCCTCCAGAGAGATTGCCAGGAGAAAAGGGAACAACCAGTTTATTCCTGAAAGCCAGGCCCCAGGTGAGTTGGGGTTTTCTTAATTTTTCCTCAAATGCCTAAACTATGAATAGCTTTGCCTCCTTTTCTCTAGAACTTTTTTGTTCTAGAGAACAAAGACCCCTGTCCCTGCTGTGCAGGAGTTGAGCTTGTCAAGGTGGATGATGGCCACTCTGCCCTCTCTTCTCTTCTTGGTATGCACTCACTCACTGGGATCCTTTGGGCTCACTTTGGCTTATTTCTGTAATGGGTACTGTAGTGATTACTAGGTAACATGCCAGAGCCCTGGCCTTGAAGGAGTGTCATGGACACAGTGGGGAGAGGACTCTGACTTCCAGGATGCAGCAGGTTAGGATGTGTACAGTTTGATGGCAAATGGGCACAGACAGGCCTTTCCAATGATGTTCAGGAACAGGAAAATCGGCCTGCATTAGAAAGACTGGGAATACTCACGGAGAAGGAATATCAAGAAGGTCCTGAGGATATGGACAGGTGGGGAGACCATTTGTGACTGGGTCCCTGTTCAGATGTTATCCCCCTGGATTAGTGAGGAGACAGACTTAACTTCACTATATGCAGGCTGTGTGACCTTGGATGCATAATGTAACCTTGCTATGCGTTGGTTTGCTACCTGTAAAATGAGGATGATAATAACATTAATTACGATGAAAATAATAATGGTTATTATTTACTGAAAACCAGATATGTATCAGGAAATATTCTACACAATTTACATATACTAACTCATTTCATTTTTAAAACATTGCCATAAAATGATTACTATTTTGAAGAATCGCAACCAAAGCACAGAAAAGTAAACTGAGGAAATCAAAGAACAGAGAGATAAAGTAACTTGTTCATCATGGCTATCTAGGTGGCAAGAAAGGGAACCCAGTTTCAAACACAGGCTGGCTCCAAGATCTTAACCACTCAGTGATACAACCTCAATCTCATATGGATGGGGCCTTCTTGGAAATGGTAATTGCTTAATCCTTGTCATCTTCGGGGATCATGGTGACTGATTCCAGCATTGGATTCAGGTTTGGCTGTAGTGAGCTGGATGTGGAGGAAGAACCAGGTGGAGGGCTGTGATGCCAGCGTGTGAGTTTCCCAGTATCAGAGATGGTATTTTAGTGGGATTCTGGCTTGATGATAGACATCGACATTTCATTTTCAAGCCAAAAAAAGGAAACCCCCATCAATAATGAGTTCTTCCAAGTAATTTTTAATAGTAGAATCATAAATAGAGTTTAAATCTCTTTGGCCTTGATGTATGTCATTTGGAGGTATAGCCAAGAGCTTAGGCTAGTTCTGTGTGGTACAGCTCCCAGATCTCAAAGGCTCCCAGTCCCAAAGGTGTTTTGTCTTCTTTCTGCTGTGTTTATCAATAGCAGGCTGACTATAACTCTCCTGCACACCCTCTTCGCTCTGGGATTCAGGCTGAAGGGTCAACCCTGCTCTGGGATATGCTGTTCTCATGACAGAGGGAAAGAGCAATGTCAGCACTTTGGCTCTTCAAGCTCCTGCTCAGAAGTGGCATGTGTTGTTTCTGCTCACAACCCACTGGCTGAAGCAGGTCACGTGGCCAACCTTAATGTCAATAAAGTGGGAAGTATAAGCCTTCTAGAGTGAGGAGCCCAAAGAGAGGGACAGTGATTATTTTAAACAAAAAATTAGTTTACCACTGTGTGTTTTCTTACTCATAGATATTCACTTCCCTTTCTCCTGTACACAAAATGCCTTACTGATAGAGGTAACCCCAGAATCCCCATTCAGTCACAGCATCATGATCAAAGTCTTAGATGGCATGATAATATCTACATTGGGCCTGGATGTGGATCCTCTGGATCTGGAGACCTATGAACTAAAAGGACATTTACCTGAATCCATATATCCAGCATACAATGAACAGTGGGGACAGGATGACCACAATAAAAACTCCTATTCAGAAAGGGGAAGCATGGGAGAAGTTTCCCAGGTCCATACAGTTATCAAATTCCACTGGGCAGATTCTGTGAGGACCCTTGATCTTGGGAGTCAGAAAATCCTGGGCTATGCCTTGGTTCTGCTCCCTGGGTGGAGCTCCCCAGCCTAGTGTTCTGGGCTGTTGGCTCTGCCCTCAGGAAGTTCCTTCCTTTCACAGCATCCTCCTTGACCACATTATAAAGATTGTATTGAAGAATAAGCTCTCTCAGGGACTATGGAGCTTTTTCATCCTGCCTGAGTAGGTTGTTTTATGTATAACTCTCAAAATTGTTTTATGTGCAACTCCTAGAATTGTTTTATGTGCAACTCTCAAAAACTTAATCAGTTTTTATGTATTTGCTTCCAGCTGGCTCCATGTGTCAATGGCTGTACCCCACAGTTTTTGAAATGTACCCCTCTCTTTAGACTTATTTGTAGAGCTTTTTGGATTTCCTTGAAACGGGTATACTTTTTTTCCACTCTGAACAGTTTGGTCCCACTGAAAGGATTTCCTGGGAGCCATTTGACAACCACATTCATGATTTAGTCCTTGATAATAGTCTGGGTTTAAATCATCTTTTGTCATACAAAAGCCTTATGTATATTTTCTTTTCCAGTTGGAAGTGAGAATTGGTTAAGTCTCCAACTCTGGAAATCCTGGCATTCTGGATGCTTCCAATTGCCTTTTTTTTTTTTTTTTTTTGAGACAAAGTCTTACTTTGTTGCCAAGGCGAGTGAGTACCGTGGCGTCAGTCTAGCTCACAGCAACCTCAATCTCCTGGGCTCAAGTGATCCTACTGCCTCAGCCTCCCGAGTAGCCGGGACTACAGGCATGCGCCACCATGCCCGGCTAATTTTTTGTATATATATTTTTAGTTGGTCAATTAATTTCTTTCTATTTTTAGTAGAGACGGGGGGGGGGGGGGCTCCCTCACCGTGTTTTTGAACTCCTGACCTCGAGCAATCCACCTACTTCGGCCTCCAGAGTGCTAGGATTACAGGTGTGAGCCACCGCACCCGGCCCCAATTGCCTTTTGTTTTGCAAACCAGCGAACACTTGAGCATATTTTTCTTCTTATAATACTTTGTCAAATGCAGCCAATAACAACCAGCTCACACTATTAATGTTATGTTTCCAGCCTTTTCTCGTTGCATCAGAAGCTCATGCTTACATTGTTCCTATTTCAAGTTATTGAAGGCAATAGTTTTACCAAACAGTTCACCACCAAATTATATGAGTTGCCACCTTGCCAATAAGTTTCCTTACTGCCTGGCCTTGAAGCTGATGTCCTTTCAAAAATGAAAGTGATTTTTGACTGTTTTGTTATGGTAGAGCCCTACTTTGAGTACCAGTTTTTTAATGAGTCAGTTTAGACTAGTTATACCATGATAACAACAGCAAACCCTCAGAGACTTATACCAGAAAAGGTTTATTATTACATGCCTGCTGTAGCTTTGCCCACATCTTCACTCAGATCATTTGCCATTTTCAAGGCAGAGGGAAAAGAGCAACTGCAGGACTCCCACTGGCGCTGAAGGCTGTTGCTCACCTGTAGCTCATGTCTCTGCCTTCACATTTCATTTGAGAAAGCTGATTACATGGCTATACCTGAGTCAGGGGGCAGGCAGCAGGCAGCTGAATCATGTCAGGAGGGCCATTGTATATTTTAGTCTAATAATGTAAACTATCACAAGAGGTTACTGTAGTAGTGAGTTTTCCACATTTGATTATTTTGGCTGCTTTTTATGCTAATATAAAATTATTTCAGCTTATTACTCTGTGGAATCAGTATCTAAATGAGATTTGATTTTTAAATACTCTAGGGTAATAATAGGAGTTTATAGTACTATCGCTTGTTCTGCTTTTTAGTTCACATAAGGATTACCATACAATATAAGTCAAATGGGAAGTATTCTAATTAATGAGATTGAGGGTGACAGGATAGTTATGACTAGGACCTGTAGAATGGTCATGCCTTGTAGTGGTGACCCGGGATCCTGGGTCTCTCACTTAGTTTTGTAGACTCAGAAACTGAATCATTGTTAAGTTTGAGGGGAAAATGATTCAGGCTGATCAAACTTACAAAACTTTTTCTTTTTCTTTCTTTTTTTTTTTTTTTCTGAGACAGGGTCTCTGTTGTCTGGGTATGAGTGCAGTGGCATCATCATAGCTCAGTGCAACCTCCAACTCCTGGGTTCATGCTGGGAGAGTCCCTAGCCAACAGGGTTGAAAACAGGGCATCATGCAGGAATAAGAAATGAAACAATAGAAGAGAAAGAGTGGGGTCAGGGGACTCAAGGCTTTCTGAACCAAGAGTCCCAAGAGTAATTCCTCACTTGTATTTATTCATTTTAAGAACAAAAGATCATCCCAAATCATTCAAGCAAACAATGCTCTATAGCTATCCCACAGGCAAACAAGTTCTAAAGATTCCAAAAAGATTATAATAACAGGTACACGTCATTCAGGTAAGCTTTAAGGATCACTGATACAGATTAAGATATCCAGGTGCACATTAACCTCAGCAAAGCTATTTCTAGCCTAAAACAAAATAAAAACATAAATCTTGGAATTGTGGCTAGGCCAGTTTTACAGCAAATTGGACGTTCCTGATAGCAGTCCTGGAGCAGTTTTCCACCCCAGGAGAGAAACTGTTTTCAGTTCCTCCTGCCCTTGGAATGTCCTTTACTATTTGGAAAACAGCCACACCTATGCAGATGGTCATATCTGCAGAGGTTTCTATGCCAGCAATCTCCCTACTTCACCCCAACATTTCTAAGCTACCCTAACAGGTTCAAATGATCCTCCTGCCACAGCCTTCCTAGTAGCTGGGACAATAGGCACGCCACCTTGCCTGGCTAATTTTTTAAAAAAATTTTGTAGACACAGGGCCTTGCTATTGCTTAGGGTAGTTTTGAACTCCTGGCCTCAAGCAATCCTCCTGGCTCAGCCTCTCAAAGTGCTAGGATTACAGGCATGAACCACCACTCGTGGCCCATTCAAAACTTATTGATTCAATATAAATGTATGCTGACAGGCAGGTAGGGGGATCAATTATTATAAGCCCCAAATTATTTCATTTGGCCTTAGTAAAAATTGTCTTTAAAATTGTAGGTCATATATTTATTAGAAGACTATTGATACTTATGCATTTGAGACTGCAAAGCATATTAGTGAGAATAAAACCTCTTGACAAATAAGGAAACATATTACATTCACCTCCCCCACCTAAGCAGAATGTCTCTGTAGGCCTGATTCTCCTGAGACCCTGATGATAAGTCCTGGTGGCTTGATGTGAATAGGCATGTAAGTGGGCACTGGGTGGGATACCAAGTAGTAAGGATGATACAATCCCTGCAGCAGTTGAAAATACTTTTGTGATGATGAAACCTACAACTCTGTGGGCACTGGGGTAGCTAGGAACTCTTGAAACTACTTCTTGCACATCCTGAGGTTCTCCTCAGATGCCTGTCTACTCTTCTGCTCAAGGCCATGAGTGTGCTCCTCGAGGGTACATGAGTTTCTTCTGTGTTTCAGGACCTGATGACATTCGAGGATGTGACTGTGGAATTTACCCAGTGGGAGTGGGGGCAGCTGGACCCTGCTCAGAAGGATTTGTACAGGGAGGTGATGCTGGAGAACTTCAGGAACCTGGCCTCCCTGGGTGAGCACTGTGCCTCCAAAGCCTGCCCAGCAGGCCTTGATTTCCTTGGTGTTTAAATGCTAGGGGTGTCTAGGCCTGTTGCTGAATTTTGCCCTGGAGTTCCAGAATCTGACATTTACATTCTCTGTGGAGCCTGGAGATACACTATTTCTGCTCCTAGTTCTAGGAAAAGTTCTGTTTCTTGCAGAGTTGAAATAGCAAGTTTACTGACTCTCCTCCTGACATTTCACAATGCCTATTCTCTGGAGGCTCTCAACACCTACAGTATTTTTTCACCTTGAAGATCAAGGTCCAAGGACTTGGCTGCCAGCACACACAGTCACAATCCTTTTCTTTCTTTACCATCAGGTCTTCCAGTGTCCAAACCACATGTGATCTGCCAGTTGGAGGAAGGGGAAGAGCCCTGTGTGTTGGAGAGAAAAATCTCAGTAGGTGCCCAGTCAGGTGAGTGAGTGAAGCTAAACAGCATTGTACATTATAAGGCCCCTCTCAGGGTGGAGAGTTTTCCTGAACCCTTGGTCAGGGGAACTGTCTTTTCAGTAGGTGAGGCCAGTTGGCATTAGTCCTTAGCTCCAGTATTTTAAATTTTGTAATTATTTCTGGCATCAGAAGAGGAAATGTTCATTTTCTTTTCTAGTGTTTACCCTTCCTTGAGTATCCATTTCTGCCCACCCCTTCTGGGTCTTTGGTGCCACATGGCGTCACTAGATGTCTTACAGTCCATGTTAGATGGATCAAAAGTAACATATGGCCAGTCAAGCACCATCTCATCAGGGTTAAGGAAGTTAGTAAGGAATCAAGCAGAACAGTTGAGCAGCCCAGAAACAAAAGGGTTATGGGCAAGGATAGACAGAGGATGTCAGGAAGATCAAGATGAGGATACTTCAAGCTTGATTAGGCTGGACCTCAACAGAAGTGGTTCCAGGAAAAAGAACTACTCTTTGCCAGCTGTTGATGGTATCTCAAGTCATCTAAAGGTGAGTTGGGAGTGCCCGGAAGGCTCCATTCCTTGGAGCAGAATTCTGGACTAAAAGCTCCCCTGACTGCTATGTGTAGCCCAAGAATACAGGAGGCAGGTGCCAGTCTGTGCCAGTTCATCTCTGAGGCAGAATCATAGCCTCAGGCCAGAGCTGAAGCTTAGAAAAGTGATGCTTAAATCCTGAGAGGATAGTCTTGGCCTCATCATAGGAGCCTAGAGTATAAGACAGAGAGGGGAGATGCAGAACTTCTCTGTGTTGGTATTTGCTCTTATTTTCTTCCTGAATGAGATCAAGGGTCTAACATCTGGATCTAGTCTCATGATCAATATCTGTTTATTTACAGTGGTCTACAGTGTGGCTGTGTTTCAGAATGTCCCAAGGAGCTTGTTAAACATTCAGACTCCCTGGAAGCATATAAGACCTATTGATTCAGAATCTCTCTGAAGTCTGGCCTCTGAGACTACTGGTTAGGGGTGGCCAGCCATTTCCCTCTTCAGAAGTGTATTTATTATTATTATATTAGTTATATATTATTGCTGAAACAAATTACCACAAACTTTGTAGCTTTAAGCAACACAAACTTATTGTCTCACAGTTCATAGATCATGGGTCTCACATGGTTAGAGCTATGGTGTCCACAGGGCTGCATTCCTTTCTAGAGAGTCTGGGAAGAACCTATTTGCTGTTCATCTGGATCATTGGCAGTACCAATTTCTTGCTTTTGTAAAACTGAAGTTTTCATTTGCTTGCTGGCTGTAAACCAAGGGGTGTTCCCAGTTTCTAGAGATTGGCACACTCCTTGGCTCTGATGTCCTTCCTCCACCTTCAAAGCTAGCATTGTTGACTGGAGTCCTCCTCACACTGCATCTCTGCCCAGCCAGGAAATATTCTCCAATTTTAAGGACTTGTGCGATTAGATTGGGCCTACTTAAATAATGCCAGATAATCTCCCCATCTCAAAGTCTGTGCCCTTAATGACATCTGCAAAATCCCTTTTGCCATGTAAGGTTACCTATTCACAGGTTCTTGGGATTTAGGGCATGGACATCTTGGGAGAGAATTATTATTCTGCCTCTCACAATTGTATAATACAGTAATATGACACATATGCATATGTACATAATGCATAATGATATATTATATAGACTGAGATGTTGAGGGAAGACTTTGTGGAGGACATGAGCTTGTCTTTGAAAGGTGTGCAAAGTGTTAAAGAAAGAGGGTGGTGAGAGTAGATGTGAATATATGGGAAACAGGGAGGCCGCCAGCTTCTGTGCTGAAGGCACCCGCTGAAGAAAAGGGCAAGATCCTGGTTAAGTATTGTGGGGCTGGAGTGAGAAATTCGGGGTTTATCCTATAGGCACAGGAGAGCCTTTGGAGGATTAAGACTGGGAAAAAACACAAGGAAAGAAGAATTTGGGGAAGAAGAATATGATGAGGAGTGTCAGGAAATACTAGAGGTAGGAGAACTGGATAGAAGTCTGCTACAGTAATCTAGGCCAAGGAGATCACAGGGTGACTTACAATCCCACACTTTGTCTATTTCACTTTATCCCTGTCCCTTAAACCCAGTCTTTCCCTCATCACCCTTCCTTCCTTCCTCTCATCATTATAGTCCTTGGACTTACCTTGTATACTGGAGTCCAAACAGTTCTCTCAGGTTTTCCTAATCTTCAGTCACCTGCTCATTACTTGTTCTTGTCACTTCCAAAATCATCTTCAGGTATAAGCCATTCTTGAAAGAATCTGTATACCTCTTTTAGATATTATTTTTAAGCTTAATTGTCTTACATCCATTAAAGGAGTTTAATTTCCTCTATGGAACATAGAACAGGTAATACTAGAATATCTTTTTTTTTTTTTTTTTAACAGACTTAAAGAGGAGGCCTAAAGCCAAGGAATCAGTTCCAAATCAGGGAATTTCAAAAGAAGAATTCTTCCAGGTGGCATCAGTGGAAAAACACACTCAAGATGAGCTCTGGTCCTCCAAACTGAAAGCAACGTGTGGTTATGATGACCAGTTAGAGATGCAGCAGATAAAACAGGAAAGACCTCTGAAAAAAATGTCAATCACTCACAAATCTTCTACCAATCTTAGGAGAGATGAATGGAGTGAATTTCGGAGAAGTTTAGGCTTAAGATCCATCTTTGTTAAGCAACAAAGTGTTCCCATGGGAGAAGGATCCTATAAGTGTGATACAGAATTCATGCAGACTTCAGGGGGTAATAACTCTCAGAGAACCCATCCAGAGAAGAAATCTTGTAAATGTAATGAATGTGGGAAGTCCTTCCATTTCCAATCAGAACTTCGGCGCCATCAGCGATGTCACACTGGAGAAAAGCCCTATGAATGCAGTGAATGTGGAAGAGCTTTTGGTCATATTTCATCCCTTATTAAACATCAGAGAACTCATACTGGAGAAAAGCCCTATGAATGCAGTGAATGTGGGAGAGCCTTCAGTCAGAGTTCATCTCTTGTTCTACATTATAGATTTCACACTGGAGAGAAACCCTACAAATGTAATGAATGTGGACGAGCCTTTGGTCATACTTCATCCCTTATTAAACATCAGAGGACTCATACTGGAGAAAAGCCCTATGAATGCAAGGAATGTGGGAGAACCTTTAGCCAGAGCTCTTCTCTCATTGTGCATTATAGATTTCATACTGGAGAGAAACCTTACAAATGTAATAAATGTGGAAGAGCCTTCAGCCAGAGTTCATCTCTCACCCAACATTATAGATTTCATACTGGAGAGAAACCCTATAAATGTAATGAATGTGGAAGGGCCTTTGCTCACACTGCATCCCTTATTAAGCATCAGAAAAGTCATGCTGGAAAAAAACCCCTATGAATTCAGTGAATATAGAAGGGCTTTCAGCTGGAGTACATACATTACCAAACCTGAGATAATTAATATTGGAGAGAGATGCTAAACGTGTAATGTATGTGGGAAGACCTTTGGTCAGAGGGTACATCTTGTTCCACATCAGACAGTACATACTAGAGAGAAGCCCTATCGATTTCAAGAGAGAAGGTGGGATTGCAGCCACACCCCCTCTCTCACTGAACACTGGAAAATCCATACTAATGAGAAACCATGTGAATGTAATGAATGTGAAAAGGCTTCAGCCAGAGGATGCATGTCATTCAACATCAGACAATTTATACTGGGGAGATTTATCAATGTACTGAGTATGGCAAGCCTTCAGTCACATACTGTACCTTTAAAAAATCAGATAGCTCATACTGGAGAGAAATTCTGCAAGTGTGGTAAGTCAAGAACACATACTAGAGAGAAGCTCTATGAAAACAGGAAATGGGGGAAGGTTTTCAGTCAGAGCTCATCCCTTATTAAGCTTCAGAAAAACCCTATAAAGTGGTGAATGTGAGAATACCTTCAGGCAAATCTCATTGCTCTATAAATCTCAGAGAACTCTCCCTACTAGTTAGAAAACTGGTATGTGATGCATGTGGGAAAGCCTTTGTGGATATTTCACCCTTTTGCACACCAGAGAATTTGTGCTACAGCAGCTCTTTGAATTTAGTGAAACTCAGAAAACCCACTAGTATAGTCAGGCCTCAGCATACAATTAAGTCTTAACCTCCAAGAGAAACTCTGTGGGCTTAATGAGGCTTAGTGAGGAAACTTCCTTTCAGACTTGAGATTCATAAAACTAGAGCTGATAGGAAGCTGAGAAATTGCCTCATCTGGTGGTTTTCTACCTGGTGGGAGGCATTTATATAACTGCACTTTGTATTACTGTGCACTGACTCCCATCCTGTTACTGATAAGACACAGTATTACTGCCTGGGTGAGGAGGATGGAGGCTGAGAAAGATAGAGAGCCACCAGTGATCTAGCCCAGCCATATTTTAGAGCTAAGGAAACCAATGTTCAGAAAGTGCCATGTCCTTGCCTATAGATCCTTTGGTTCACATTTATAGTTTGAGGATTGAGACACTGAAGGCCTTCCCTGTACAATACCCCCATGTGCTTGTTTCTCTGTAACACATGTTACTTTTCTCTGTGAGGCAATGGGAGTAGTCTATGTTTGAACAAAAAGCAATTTTCTGTATGTATTTATGATGCTGGATTTGGAAATGTTTAAAAATATTTTTTGTAGAGATGAGGTCTTGCTATGTTGCCCAAGCTGGATTGGAACTCCTGGGCTCAAGTTATCTTCCCACCTCAGCCTTCTTAGTAGCTGGGACTATAGGTGTCTACCACTATACCTGGTTGGGTTTAGAATTTTTTGAAATGAAATGAAAACAGTGTTTGTTTAAACATAAAAATCACTAAAATATGGGTATTATTAAAAAATCAAAACCTCAAAAACACTGTGAGAGAAGGCAGGTTCCAGAGACCACATATTATATGATTCCATTGTAGGAAGTGTCCAAAAAGGCAGATCTTCAGAGACAAAGTAAATTAGTGGTGGCCTGGGAGTGGCAACTGAGAGCAACTACAAATGTTATGAGGAATCTTTTTGGGATGATGGAAATGTTCTAAAACTGGTTGGTGGTGATGGGTGAATAATTTGGTAAATTCACTAAAAATCATTGAACACTCAAAATGGGAGAATTTGATGGTATGTAAATTATACCTCAATAAAATCATTTAAAACATCAAATATACAGCTATACCAACTTTTACAAAACTATTTTGTTTGTTACTTCAAGCCATCTGTGTATCTTTTGTATTACTTTTTATTTTCTGTAATATTAAATAGTTAACCCAAAATTTACTGGGTCTCAGAACCTTGTCAGGCTCTTCTTTAAGTCTATACCATGTTGGCTGTGCATCTTAGGTGGAGAAGCCAAGACCAGGAGCTGGCATAGACCAGAGGAGTCTTGCCGGATAAGGATTAGCTCATAGTAGGAGAGTCCTTCAAATATTCAAAGTTCATAGGAGGAAGCTGAGCCTGGAATGCAGGGAACCAGCTAAAAGTGGGTGTAGACAGACTGGTGTAAGGGTCCAGGAGGTTGGGGAAAGGCAGGTAAGATGTACAGGAGGCACCTGAATCTGGAGGCTCCATACAGCTGAGGTCAGGATGCCAGTCTTAGGGTGCAAAAATCATATGGGAATTTCTTCCCAGAGAGCCAAGGTTCACAGGAGCAGAAATGGCAAATACTTTTCACTAGTAATAGCTTGGTTTGCTCCATGTCTCCTTTTTCCCCCTGGCGCTTTTCTCTAACACCCATCCATGTCAGCTTATACCTGGATGCTTGCCACAATTTTGTAACTGGTCCTTGCCCCAAATCTGTCTCTTCCTCTTGTGTATCCCTGCCATGTTAACCATTCTCATCAGTTTGAACCCATTGCCCTCCTCCCAAAATCCTTTGCACTGGCTACAAGATAAATCCCCATGCCTCCGTTTGGCATTTAATGCCATCTTCAGTCTACCCTAACCTCCTGCTGCTCTGGATAAGGGCCTCTATTACAGATGAACTAGCTCTGTTGATATCCTCAGACACACCTCTACCTATACTTCCCAGTCTGCAAGCCTTTACCTTAGCTGTTCCATCAGCCTGAGATGCCTCCTCTACCTGCCTTCTCCACTCAGCCTACATAATGAGTCAGAACCCTGTGCAAATGCCCCCTCCTTGGGGAACTGTTCTCTTGAACACTGATGTGAAGTCATTTCTTACTTAATTGCAATTGTAAAAGCAGTTTTTGTTTGCATAGGCTATCTGGATTTATGATAATGCTTATCACTGTTTTGGTCTACCTAAATAATTTTGTGTTTATTATCTCACCACTTTCTCATCTCCTAAACCAAACTGTCAGTTGCTTCAAGTCATGTCTCATACTTTCTCTCAGAAATGAGCACACAGTAGATGGTCACTAACCATGTGTTAATTTGAAAAATAACTTGTATTGCTCAGGTTTTCTCAGTGCTTCCAAATGACTTCACATTTTTTGTATTAGATAAAAAGCTTTTCTTCTAGACAACTACCAATTAAATATTTCCTTAGAAAAATGGAATGTTGCTTCCTATAGTTATTTTTCAAATTTCCAATATAGATTAGCATTGTTCCATCTTTTAGGGGTAAATTGGGGGTGGTGGAATTCATAGGAATTCAGTGCTGTTTTATTTTGTACAACTATATTGACTTCTGGTACCAACTACACAGAGTTAGGCCAAACTTCACAGGTTAAGGACACAGTAGCCCACAAGACTGCCCTCACTTCAGACTCGAATCACAAATTCAGAAATTCCTAGGCCACCTTCATTTCTGACAAGCTTGCTATGAATTCAGGGGTTCCCACTAACCCCATAGCTGGATAACTCACTAGAATGATTCTCAGAACTCAGGAAGGTTATATATTTATGAAATTTTTTACTTTTTATTATAGTAAAAAGATACACAACAGAACCAGCCTAAAGAAGACATGCATAGGGCAAAGTCCAGGAATGTCCAAGTGCAAAGCTCCTGTTTTCCCAAGGAACATGTTACCCTGCTGGCATATTGTGTGTGACAGTACACAGAGTGATGCGCACCAGGGAAGTTCACTGGAGCTTTGGTGTTCAGAGTTTTGATGGGGGTTTCTTTACAGAGGCATGAATGATTGAATCATTGACCACACAATTGAACTCAATCATCAGCTCCCTCTCCTTTCCCTAGAAGTCGAGCTGATATCACATGGCTCAAAGCCCCAATCCTCTCTAATCATATGGTTGGTATTTCTGGCACAGCCAGCTACCAACCTATATTCATTAGCATAAACTAGAAGCCAACTATGAGTCACCTAATTAGCATAAACTATCAGGTGTAGTGCAAGGAGCCTACCATGAATAGCAAAGGCACTCCTATCCATCAGGAAGTTCAAGTTCTTTATTATATAAGCACATACCCTCAAATCAATATAAAAATGATTCAATTATTATTCAAATAAACAAGCCACAGACATTAAAACTGTACTTTAGATATTCCTCAGCAAACAATTGCAGTACATCACTTCTGCTTACAGACCACTGGCAAAAACTTAGTTTCAGGGCCATTGCTAATGGCAAGGCAGGCTGGAAATTGTCTTTTTTCCTGGGCAGCAATAGGCCCACCTAAAATTTGGGGATTCTATTAGTAAGGAAGAAGAAGAAGATGGACATTGCTGGAGACCAGGAATCTGTGCCACAAGACCTAAATACCTCGAAGCCATGTGGGAATGAAGCACATCCATGACACTCTTTGGGTCTCAGTTTTCTCCTTTATGAGATGAAGCCTTTCCATTTATAGAAAGAAATGGAGAACATCCAAATGAGTACAATCAGAGGCTATTTATTCAGAGAGTTCTATAACAAAGTTGTCACCCACAATCACCTCCATTTGGCAGTGGACCCAAATGCTTGCAGAGAGCAAGAAAGCTTTATATTGGATGAGGGGGAGCTTCAATTATTCCCTGACTGGAAGTTGTTGGCACGTAAAAGCTGGTGGTACAATAAATAGAAGTAGGACATCTTATATGATTGGCTTGGGAGCATATTTGGTTTTCTGTGGCTGGTTCTGAGTTGGAAATGGGGGTAAAATTATTGACCACATCCAGACTGTTCTGGGCCAATTGCTGTAGAGGTTGTGGCTTGGCCTGCAGGATGGTTGCTGCAGAAGTATGGGTCAGAGTTCTATTGTCATATATGGTGTATTTGTATATTTAGTCCTTCGGGTTCCCCTTTTGTTCATCCTCTTGCTTGAGAGAGGTTGACCAATTCAGGGAAGGCCAGAGAGCCAGATCTTTATTACTTGGGGATTGTTCAGTTGTTTCCATAGTAAACTCTATCACACAATCTTCTTGATCTTTTTATTGTATTGTCATGGCATCACCTCATGAGGGAGAAGCTATGCAGAAGCATTGAGTGTTTTTCTTAAGGTGGTGTATAGACTATTTTGCCAAGCCTGTTTCAGTGATCTGAGTATAGAAAGAAGTAATAGCAATGGCCCAGATGCTACCATTATTAGCCAACAAGAAATCTAGAACAATGCATTTGCCTGTCACCACTTACACCAATGAATTGAGACAGATCTGTATGCCATCTAGGGCAGAGGTGGTGCCATTAATAACTGTGGCAGAGTCTTACAGGCTTTTTATTTCCCACCATTGGAATACTGTTCTGATTGTTCACATAAACGACGAGTCAGCAATTCCTCCAAGGTAGGGTGCCTGGATAATCAAGGATAACCTCATTTTGAAACTCATGTCTGAATTGGAATTTCCAACATTGATGACTTATAGAATTAGAATTTCTGTGTACCGGCAAGTCTTGGAATACTTTTCCTAAAATGTGCGAGGTTTTAGTCTGAAGAGAACAAAATCAAGTCTCCTGGCTGCAAAGTAAGTGAACTCAGTAGCAGGGCATACAGATCCAGAACAAAAAAGGAATTGTTCGTAAGTCAAGATTGGAACCAAGGCCTTGCATTAGTTGTGTTACATATTTGGATCTCTATTAGTTTCTTCCAGATGATGAGTAACTAACCCATTGCCCTATAAAGGCTGCTGAGTTTAAATTTAGAATTTCCTAGAGTCTGATCAACAGATTGCAATAATTGGTCCTTTTTCTAGGAGAGAGGGACACCAGTAAAGTCACAGGTTGATTTGTTTGAGGTCATTTGTCCCTGTAGGTGCAAGTGGAAAAGCCATTAGCTATAATCCCCTATAGTTTCATTTGATGAAACCAGAATCACTCAGATGTATTTATCACAGTGGTCTGGTGCTGGATAGCATATCCAACATTGGTAAGAGTGAGCATAGTGGCTACTCTTAGGAATAACCCAAGAATGGCATTAGAATGAGTATGTTCTGACCTAACAATTATAATAAAGATGAAAGAAAAGAGAAAAAGGGCCACCGTGGGTAGATGGCACTGAGGGGTCAAAAGACAATGAGAATACAAATGGCTATAAGCAAGCAGATGAAAGACAAAACAGGATTTCTACAGAGGTCTTGGTCTGACATCTTGGGCAGAGGCTATCCACTATCCAAGTTCATTTTTTCTGAAGGCTTGGGTCCCCAGTATAGTTCTGAAGATCAGCTGCATATGTAATATCCTGGAGAATCCCCAGTTTGTGGTTTTCGATTGAAGTGGCCTTCTAGTTGCATCAATTCTTAATTGCTCCTTTAGTTGTGAAATGTATACCCAAGGATTGACAC